AAAATTACCCTCTCTCGGCCTATGTTAGCCTGAGCCTATAGGCATGATTTTGAAATTTCAAAAATAAGCATCACTATCACCAGTTTTTTTTTTTAAAGGGGATAATATAATTGGAGATATATAATTGGGGATAATCCGGAGCCTTTCATGGGGATAATTTTTGCAATTGATATAGTGTAACTGTGTTAATAAATTGTGTACATATTATAATTAATATATTATATATCCGTAGTTAATATATTATGTACTTATAATTAATAAATTATATATCTATTACAATTAACGTATTAATGTATTATATGCATATAATTAACATATTATATATCTTCAATTAATTAATAATGTACATATTACATTAACATATTATGTACCTTCAATTTATTTATAAGTACATTCTGTTAATTGAATGTACATAATATGTTATAATGTAGACATTGGTACCTGGTATAATTTGGTTGACTTTTGGAACATTTTCTTTTTTCATTTTGCCAAACTTTTGCCTTTTTTTTTTCTTAAGTTAAAGAATTTCAATTATTATGTCGTTCTGATAAAAAAAAATTAATATGCCTAGTAGATGGGTGAGCATCTCTTTGAATATGCTTCTTTTAAGATCAAAAGGTAGAGGCTAATTTAACAAAACGAACCGGCTCAAATAGCGCAGGAGAGAATTAGGAACTAAATAGAGCTGTCCATTTAGAAATTAAAGATATGACACTTTTAAAGTAGTGAGAGCGAAAAAAAAATGTAATGACATTTTTGTAAATAATTGAAATTCTAAGTGTAAGTAATAAAGTAATAATATTATGGACTACACTAAATAACATCATAAAGTGCAATAATATAAAATAAACTCAAGTAACAATATTAAGTGCATCTAACGATATAATTAATTAATCCAAATGTAAAAATTAATTACTTACTTGCACTTTATAAGTCTATAGAGGTAAATGTTGCACTTTATACTTTTATAGTAATGTTACTTGCACCAGTTGCTTTCACACTTAAACATGTTACATGTACTTTAAAGTTTAAATTATTTACAAAATATCACCACACTTTTTTTTTTTAAATTACTTATGATTCATTATATATTTCTAAACAGACGACTCGGAGTAATTAGTTCCTAGTTCTCTTTTCGGTAGCAGTTTTCACATGAGTGTGCCCCTGTGTGTGTGTGTATGCGTTCAGGTGCGAATTGTCTGCCCAAGAGAGAAGTGAGAACCATTCAGCGTCGTCCACGTGTCCAGATCTATGGGATGAGAAACACTGATTTAAAAAAAAAATGTGGTGACATTTTCGTAAATAATTGAACATCGACGTGCAAGTAAAATATATTACAAGTGCAAGTAGATAGCAGTTTCATATAGTGCACCTCATTTCTTGTAAAATGTATTATAAGTGCAGGTAAAATGTATTACATGTGCAAGTAAAAGATACACTGAGCATCAAAACTAAGTGCACCTAACGTTATAACTAGGTACACATATTGTTACAAGTAGTTGCACCTAGGTGCATGAATGTTAACAAGGTAAAATTACATGCACTTGTAAGTGAAAGTATGTGCACTTGTAAGAGATTTTACCTGCACTTTTTACTTGCAAAGGTGCACCCACTACTCGCACTTATAACACATTTGCATGCACCAATGTTCGAGTTATTTACGAAAATGCAACCGCGTCGCTTTTTTAAAAACTACATATGATTCATTCATTTGGACACGTGGGCGGCGCTGAATGGTTCTCATTCCTCTTCTGGGCAGCCGTTTGCATGAGAGCGTGCCCATATATATATATATATATATATATATATATATATATATATATATATATATATATATATATATATATATATATGGGTGATCACATGTGGCCATGTTGTTAGGTGTGGTCATATGGTCAATTATATTACAGGCCATTAGATTAGATAGATGAAATGAATCACATTAATCAAGATTCTTCCAGTATTTTCGCGCACATTCTCCTACCCAGCGAACTGCAAGGATAAACTCGTCATAAGGCAGCGGAATAAGGAAAATCACATTGTTGTGTGTTTTATTTGTGTAATTGGCGCATTATTAGGTATAGCCTTACTCTGGTGTATTTGTAGATTCCCATTGGTGCCAAGTTCAGGTGCGGCAACGTCTTCCCGAGTGGTCAGTGTGGCCACACCAATTGTTATACAAATATACACAATCCATGTTATGAAATGCACAACAAAAAACATACACAAATTAAGTACGCATCACCAAAAACGCGCCATTAGATATGAATAAATACACCATACAGTATTCGGGAATACACTATTGGTGTGTTTCGCTGTGGTGTATTTTATTACACTATTAGTGCATGTTGTCAACATTGTTGGTGTATTCTGGAACACGGCCGCTATAAATGGCCACTATAATTAGCATAACACCCCCCCACGCGCGAAAATCCTCAAATCCTCAGAATTAGCCAATGCCGTTATATTAAACTGATTCAACGACACATATACGACCACACCGCCACACCTAATGACATAACCACATATGAGCGCTCATATATATATATATATATATATATATATATATATATATATATATATATATATATATATATATATATGGTCAGGTTCTTGTGAGGTCAGGTCTTCCGTGCGGTCAGTGCGGCATACACCATTATGCATGCATAAATGCACCACACAGTGTTCGTAAATACACCATTATGTGTGGTGTATTTTTTTTTTTTTTTTTTTGTGGTGTATTTTTTGACATTTCATTCTGGTGTATTTTGAGCACTGTATGGTACATTTATACATACCTAATGGGGTATGCCGCACTGACCACACAGGAACCAATATATATATATATATATATATATATATATATATATATATATATATATATATATATATATATATATATATATATATATATATCAGTGTGGGAAATTATTACGATCACCATTGTAGAATTTGTATGTGTATGTATGTGTGTAGTATATATGAATGTTATATATTGGTGGGGGCTAGCATTAAGGTATCAACCCATGTGGGAAAGAGATGTGCAAGGACTCCTCCACCGCCAACCTCCATATTCAAAAATAAACAAATATTTAAAAGAATCAGAAAAATGTTCTTGATGTGTTACGTTAATTGTTGCCGACTATTAGATTATAAATTGTAGGTACACATTTTAATTTGCATTAGCTTATAAGTTACTTATAACCTATGGCCCCTATGGGTTAGTATGATTATATAATACACACAAGCAAAATTTTGATCACATTCATGGGTGGATCTACAATGAGAACAGTTGTTAGTTTGTCACCCCTCATCGCTCCCCACCCCCTTACATATATGTATATGTATATATACACATATATCAGTAAAATATGTATAAAATTAATATTTATGTACAAATTATTAAGGATTTGAGTGGTTTAGTTGGTTGTAACTTTGAATATGACATGTAACATGAAATGTTGGTTTGATCTCACTAGTAGCATTTCAAAGTGTTTTAAAATTTCACCATACCCAAGTATAATTTTAATTCCGCCCCTAACTATCCTTAGTCTATCATAAATATTATATTATAATTTATAATATATTTTGTATTTGAACCATATTATAGATGTTTGATATTTTGTCATTGACATTTCTAAAGTCATTTAAACTATGCCGGCCTCCACTAACATAATTTCAGGATCCACCTCTGAATCACACTTTCTTTCAAGATGCCCATTTTTTTTTATATTTTTATGTCTGAATGCACATTTAACAGAATAAAAACATATGAAAAACCTGTGTGGCTAATTTGAATTAGGGAAAATTTAACCCAAAACTCTATAACATAATCCATATATACAAAAATTGATCCTCCATTATTATTGTGATGTTAGTAGCCTACATTCTAAAAACATAGATATATGGTAAGTAAATTAATTGGTTAGTATTTCCTAATAATGGATAACATTGGATGAAAATTCTGACATTCTAATATTGTTGGCCAATGGTTATGACCGTTTTGCATGCATTAGACGGAAGTTCCCAACCAACTGTTAGATGAAATTTTGAAATAGTGGGTGTAAGCATTGGAATTTTAAGTTGTGGGCTGATTTGTGTGTTGTTGGGTCTTGATGGATAATCGGTTATCAAATTAATTATTTTAATTGGGTTAATTGGACTAATATTTATTTAATTGGGTTGATTAAATGGTCCAATAAATATTTAATGGCAAATTTTACTATGGACCATGGTTTAAAACGGTATCGTTTCTTTAAGTAAAAAGAAACGACATCCGTTCCGCGTAATTAATTAATTCTGTATGTTTAACATATTCAGTTTCATTTTATATATATACATTGTAGTTTATTTCAACACAACTAAAGTTTCATTTTGTTTCAACTACAGTTTTATTTGACATTATACATACAGTAGTCTTATTACAGTGATACCTGTTATTGAATTTTATTTTATACACAATGTAGTCTTATTACAACACCACTAAATTATAATTCTAGTAGACATAAAATACCACAAAGAAAAATTGGGAAGAAGGAATTAGGAAGGGAAAGAATTGTAATTCTGTGAGAAAAGAATAAGGTGGAATAAAGTGAATTCAAATTACATTGTTTGGTAGGATGAATAGAATTATTATGAATGACAATGAAAGAAATGATATAAAGACTAAAATGCCCTTGTGGTGTAATAATAATAATAATAATAATCTATCATTATAATAAAGCACTAAGTTTCTTCTGAAAAAATTCTCCCGCCCACACAAAACTACGCCGTTTTGAGAGTGAAGATAATTGCTGCGTATTTAATACTGTTTACATTGGGTTGCATCTTTCTAGGAGGCTTAGCCGAATTAAATTTTGGTTTGCAGAATAGAGTTTCATTACATTGTAATACCAATGCAAGTAATAGCCGGCTCATTAAATGTCCTATTCTATTCCCAAGCAACATACATTGATAAACTAACCTAAAATAATCTAATTCAAATACCATCATGTCCTATATTATTACAAATCAGAATCAGAATTTAATTTAAATTTAAATTTAAATTTAATAAAGGCTAAATATAATGAAGACAAGAGTGCTGAAACAGTATGATGGTTTTCATACTCCCAATACAGATTGTTGTCTTTCCATTCTTCAATAACAGACATTAATGACTTGAAACTCTATATAAACCTTCTTTGCTAGAGAAACTGAACGGCCAGATTAAATAGAAACTATTCTCTGCATCATTTGTGAATACCTTTCAACATGCCTTCTTAGTATGTATCTGTAAAAGAAATAAGACCTCATAACACTATGAGAGCAATAAGAGTAAGGGTATATATGAAGTCCCGGAGGTTAGAGGTAGTGAAACAAGCAAGAGTTTAGAAATTCTATTCCATGATGCTGGGGTAAATCTGTTTTTTTTTTTCTGATGCAACTGATTCTTATGTAACCTGCTTATTTTTTTTCCTACTATGTGTTTAATGAAACATCTATGTTCCTGTATTTTTAGGGAGACTACATCCATGGAAATATTTTTAAAGTCTCTTATTTGGTTTTATTTGCACATCTGATTTTTATATTGTATATTTAAAGACTCTAAAGTCTCCTTTTGATATCCCCCGGAACTGTAGACACTGATTGACATGTCTATGATATTCAAGGTTGGATTTAAGAAAGACCAACCAAGGGGTACTACCTCTGCTTTTACTGTGATGAGGCTGTTAAGAGATGAACTATTAGTTGAGACTTACTGTTCTAGCCTGAAGGAACACCAAGACAAGGACTTGATTTCTAAAATGATAGAAGAGGATGAGGAAGATGATGAAGACTCTGAACAGGTAATCTAATCCCTATTGTCAATATGATTGAACCTTTTGTACTATTAATTTAAAGTCTAAACTACAGTTTCATGGTCAGGATTTATCTCAAGCTGATGAAGTGAACTGTTAGCCCTAGATGCATGTGAAACCAAAAGTGTAGATGTCTGAAAATTCATTTGTAAAAATATATTTTTGTTTCAAGAATTAAGAATGGTAGACCAATAAAAGAAGCATATTCCATTGGGAGTCTCACATCATACTGGGATAGTTGAGAGTATGGTCCTTCACATATAAAATGTATAGGTCAATGCCACAAATGCTTTCACTCTTTATCTCTTTCAGATGTAAAGAATAGCAAAGATGTCATTTAATACGCATTTACAAGACACCAAAAGAAGCACAGAGTCAATAGCACCAAGATATGAGGTAAACCAATACATGGTTCAATGCATGAAACTTCTTATGCCAAAGAACCAAATGTCCAGCTTTCAATCAGAGGAATAAGTAGAAGTATATAAGTCCATGTTAAGACAGTGTTTATCTAATTTAGAGTAGATTTGATGAAAAATATTTGGATTGAGAGTGAAACATCTTATAAACCTTTGAGCTATATTTGGAGGGAGTATTATTTTAAAAAAGGTTGGCTCAGGCAGTTTTTGCTTGATTCCAAAACCAGTTATACCATCAAGTAGAAAATCAACAGGAGAGAAGTTCATACTAAGCTGGATATGATATGTACCAAAACATAATTTTTTGACCTAAGTCACAAAAAAGTGAAAAATAAAAACAAAGCAAAAAATGACCTTCAGTCTATAAATAGCTTCATCCAAACTAAAAATGGAATTCAAATGCAGGAATTTGATTAAATGTGTTCTTACAGTTAGTTTACTGAAGCCTTCAATTCCTTTCAAACTCTGAAGTTTGTTCTGGGCTACTGATAAGCACTTCAAGTCCCCGCATGACTTCAATCTCTAAAATTCATTTCAACAATAAATAAATAAATAAATTAAAAGAAAAATTGAAGTTATAGTACTCTCAATGGAAGGCAGGTTTTTGAAGCATACAAATGACAACAAATGTTGAATGCGGGAACTCAATGGAAGGCAGGTTGTTGAAGCATACAAATGACAACATATTTGAATGTTAATATTACCTGATCATGTGTTCTTTTATTCAGTTCTTGAATGCCTCTTAGAATGATAGTTTTGTTAATATTCCTGCTCTGTAATAAAATAAATGACTTCAATTTAACTAATTATTTTCAGTTGCATGTTGAATTATAATATTATTTATGAGCATAAACTATCTGAGAGCATAATAAATATTTTCAAATCCTAAATCCTTCATAAATATTTACCTAAATACAGGAAAACTTCAGAGAAAGTTTTAAAAATTTTCCTCTAAATTTTTTAGTAAAACCGTAATTAAAATACACGAATAAACCAACAATAATTTCTTAATCTAACGAACACAAAAACATTTGGACAAATCTATAACTAAATTAAGAGTAAATCAACTGAAAGCAATTGAAGGAATAAGTTAACTTATCTCAGTTGGGGTTTTCGACAGACGGTGCGATCATTGTCAAACTTTAATTTTATGAACTGATGATGATCGGTACTCCAAAATGACAGAACTGAACTTTTAATCCACAGAAATTACGAACAATGAAGTACAAAACCTAGGGTTCATGTTCAGAGACTAAATCGGATTTCGCATTGCTATTATGTCTCTGAAATACAACATTTAGTTGATCTAAGAAGCAAAACATAAACAATAATTGTAGGATTTAGTGTTGATGGCAGATTGGGGGACCGAGATAGAGAGAATCGTGAGTGGGGCGAGAGTGAGAGAGAATGAGAATGTGAATCGTCTGGGTTGTTGGGTATTGGTTTGGGCTGAATGAAATTGGATTGCATTAAAATATTGGGCCTAAACCAATACCCAACATTTATTATGCTCCTATATATTATACATATCATATTATAAGTTGATTAAAACTCATGATCTTATTGCTACAATTGATGATAACACATCCTTATTAATAATACGTAGTGGTGACACTCATCTTGACTATCTTCATAATCGATTGGCTCCAACTCTGGATGTGGTAGATAGCATCAACGATTATATGAATGATAAGAATACTGCTAAGGGTAAGATGTATTTGAGTTGTGATTCGGGTTGTAAATATGATGCAACTGGAGACATGCTATCTGATTTTGCACACCCAGAGTTCTTAATTGCTTTACGTTGTTATGGAGTCCTGAATGATGCTTTGACTATAAAAATTGGCTCACCTGTCATATTATTGAGAAATATTGATCACTCATTAGGACTATGTAATGGTACAAGGCTAATTGTTATAAGGTTTGATCATGTGTTGGAAGCTCAAATTATGTGTGGAACGAATGTAGGAATAAAGGTTTTAATTCCTAAAATGTCATTAACAACTTCTGATTCAAGATTGCCTTTCAAATTTCAAAGAAACAATTTCCTTTGATGATATCACATGCCATGACATTTGCCTAATTTATGAAAATACTAAACAATGATAAATAAAATCTTTAAAGTTATAGCACCGCATGCATATATCTAGACATTAGCTATTAATTTGAACAATTATTTGCACAAATTCAAGAAATGATATCATTAAAATATATAAATGATAAATCATATCTTTAAGTGCACTATATAATATTTGATGTTCTAATTTGAATAATTATATATAAATTCTTATATTCTTAACAAATTCATTTCGTGCATCGCACGGGTGCAAATACTAGTAATAATAATAATAATAATAATAATAATAATAATAATAATAATGTCAATTTCCCATTTCCCCCTTTTCCTTCTTCCATTGAATTAGAATTCATGAGTAGGGGTATGAATTTCAATTCAATGAGTAGAGGGAATTGCAATTCCCTCGCTCCAATCAAACAATGTAGTTTTCTTTTCTATTGAATTGCATTGGAATAGAATTCCAATTATGAGTTCACTCTCTCTGATTTTTCTTTCTTTCTTTTTATTTTATTTTAAAGAAGAATAGTTTACATTAAACTTTGTCGATAGGGAAGCAAAGTGTTTGATTCTTTTTTTAGTGTAGCTTGATCTGATGGAGTCAAGGATATATCTGTTTTTACTTTTAAAGTGGGACCACTTTGTTTGGAGAGTGAAATTAAACTTTGTACCATTTGTCAATTATTTTGACTAATTTTTAGGGAGCAACCTTGCATATAATAAATAGAGTTAATTTTATTTTTGGCCATAAATTTATAGGTGACAATCTATTTTTAGTCCCTTTTAATTAGAATGTCCTCATTTGATTATAGTATTATTATGACATGATCATTTCTAGTCCCCGTCAACAAAATTGAATATCATTAAATACAAAGACATTTCAATCTTTTTTATACAAAGTAAGTTGATTCACTATATTTTTTTATGTTTATTTTTTTTAAAAAAATCATAGTTGAAGACCGAAATGTCTGTGTATTTAATAATATTTAAACTGTTTTGTTGATAATAGACTAAAAATGATCATGCCACAATAATACTAGGACCAAAAGTGGATGTTCTGATAAAAATAGATTTAAAGTGGACTGTCATCTATAAATCTATAATAAAAAATAGAATTAACTCTAATAAATAAATACCGTGCTCTTTTTATTTTATTTTATTATACATAGGTGATCTAGTATTGACCAAATGTGTGCTAATTGATTCCTTTAACTCGTTATTTGTTCCCTTTTAGCTCGTACTGCTTCCTGGCGAAACGGATTATCGTATGGAAATCGAGAGAGACAAAGTGCAGGAAAAAAGAAAGAGAAAAAGTGTAATTGCAGAAATTTTTATTCGAACATCAACTTACGGGGATGTATTCTATCATGACTTTTGTAGAGTTTTAAAAACATTTAAAATGATTTAGATTTTAATAAACTTTGATGGAATTTCTTCGAGTCGTTCAAAACATTATAAGAGTCTATAAAAATCTATATAAAAAACATTCATAGACTTTTATCAACTTTTTATTTTAAAAAGTCTACAAAAAGTCATTGAAATTCTAAATTGAATACATCCTTACATACTTTCAATGATTTTGATTCTTATCATTTACAATTTTCTTACAAAACATTTATAATATATCATAAAATGAGAAAATTTCAATTTTGGTCCACTGACTATTGGGGTTGTGTTAATTGCAACACTTGACTTTCAAAAATAGTAATTAAGTACCTTGACTATGCAATTTTTATCAATATTGGTCACACCGGCCAAATTACCGGCCAAATGTGACCGAAAAATTTAAAATTAACAATTAATCTTAAATAGGAGGGGCAAAATCGTCATTTCATGTTACTTTCTTCTTCTTCCATTCCTTGCACCGCAACGCCGTCTCCGTCGGCAATGCCAATTATTGATGTCCACCAAACATGACCTGCTCTGCCTCTTCCCTGGCGGCCTGCATAGACGGCCACGGGGGGAGATAGTGCATAGCCTCCGGGACATAAGTCTCGTCCCCGAGGCCAGAACGCTCTAAGATCTTACGCTGAAACTCGAGGCTGGACTCACCGAAGTCCCCGGTGAGCCTGGAGTGATCCATAAACCGCTGATACGGAGCCTTGAGGGTATCGAGAGGGCGGTAACAGGCGTAATCAACCAAATAAACCGGCCGCGGCCGGGTCATGATATAAACGGTGTATCCAAAGACGAGAACGGCGGAGCAAATAATCACAGAAACGAGATTGTACTGCAAATGAAGCCACAGCTGGCGAATATCATCGGGATTCATTTGAGAAGCCTCGATTATGAAGCCTCGGGATTCATAGCAAATAAAAACGGCGTCGCCCACCGCCGGAGATTATGAAGCCTCGACGGAGACGGCGTTGCCGGTGCAAGGAAGGGAAGAAGAAGAAAGTAACATGAAATGACGATTTTGCCCCTCCCATTTAAGATTAATTGTTAATTTTAAATTTTCCGGTCACATTTGGCCGGTAATTTGGCCGATGTGACCAAAATTGATAAAAATTGCATAGTCAAGGTACTTAATTAATATTTTTGAAAGTCAAGTGTTGCAATTAACACAACCCCAATAGTCAATGGACCAAAATTGAAATTTTTCTCATCATAAAATTCTTCTTATTATATAGTTCTTCACCCACATCAACATTCTCAACATTATTATTTTTATTCATAGTATGCTAAGACTTATATGCTAATTACTTATATATTATTATTAATAAACATCAAAAAAAAAAAAAACTATTTCATTTGGAATTCATTACAATATTGAACAATAAAATTTATAATAAAAGATTTGATCAAATAAAATATTTAAAAATATAATTACAAGTTGCATAAAATAAAAAAAATAAAAATCTAATATTAATAATATATATATAAAATTATACTTGATATATTGCTATAAAATAAAAATAATTTTATTGAATTTAGATAGGTTTATAGAGTTTAAATAGGGAGAAAAAATAGAGTGTAAATACTGAGAGAAAACATTCAAAGTTGTTAGAAAGAAAATTTGAAATCTTGAGGTTGATGGTTGGATTTCAACTATTTGTATTTGAGAATGAAAAGTCTACAAAAGTCTTAAAATTAAAAAGTCTACAAAAGTTTATAACTTTTTGAATACCACGTGACTTTTAAAGACTCTTTAAAAGTCTTAACCGAATACCACACGACTTTTAAAGACTCTTTAAAAATCTTGATTAAATACCGCCTGACTGCTAAAGACTCTCTAAAAGTTTGAATTGAATACCTCCAAACTTTTAAAGTTCATAAAAGTCTTTAAAACTCTATGAAAGTCATGATTGAATACACCCCCTTAATATAATACAAGTGATATATATAATTACAATTATAACAGAGAGCAATATTAGAGACATAAACATGACCCTTACACAATAATATCCACGATAAATATTACTTATAACAAAATGAACACATTATACTCTTAAGAAGCATTATTCGTGTTGATTATCCTAATCTCATTGAAAAACAAAAATATGACCTCCTTTTTAAAACCAATTAACGCAATTCATATTAGCATTCAATAAAATCCATAGTGGAAGCCGTCTCAGCAAAATTAGTCAGATTGTTCACTTAGTATTCAATAATCACACAATTCTAATTTCTATGTTTAATTCTTATTGAGAGCGTGTGACTTATTAACTTTTTTAGTTTGAGAATGTCAAATATTGATAACTTAAATTAGTTTACCTCCTACCAGGACTATGTGGTCCAATGGTACCCGGATTGGACTTCCATTTGGAAGGTTGTGAGTTCGAGCCTCAATAGAGGTGTTATTAGCTCTTTGTGTTTCAGTAGGTTGAGAAAGTATATAAACAGATATTACAATGTAATAAAGCTAGTAGCATTCAAAAAAAATTAGTTTACCTCCTTGTAGTTTTTCTCCGAATAAGGAATAGTTTACTAATATTAACTTTCTCTCGTCACAAAAAAAACAAAAAACAAAAAAAAAAAAAACCCAAAAAAAAAACCAAAAGAAAAGAAGAAAGACATAATAAAAGGAAAAAATGCAATATTATTGAACGTACATTACTTCCATAATAAATTTAGAGTGCCATGCTACACCTACCCCCTTCCCTCCACCTCTTCTCAGTTCATTGTAACTGAATGCCAACTTCTTTGTACTTTAGGAAACTAGCCATTAAATTAATTAGTCACCCCAAAAATGTGGGTATAATATGCATCGTCAAGAGCAGAGTAAAAAATATTGTTAACTGTTTAATTAGATGATCTTCAAGTATTTCTAAATTAAATTAAATACGAGAATACACAATAAAAACTTCTAAATTACATTGATTAAATAATTTATAAAAAATAAACTTTTTTTTTTAAATATTTTTCATAATTAAACTGCATAACATATTTCGTATAAATTAATTAATCAATTAAAATAATTATAACACATTATAAATTTCATAAGTTAACACATGGTATAAATATTAGTAAATTGTTTAATTAGGAATAAATTTTTTTAAAATGATATTAATCACAAATTAGTCTACATTATAAATCTATCAATTCATATGAAACATGCCAAAAAAATTACAAAGCCACAAATCACAAATAAAAAAAATACAATTAGAAATTAGAAATAAATATCACAAATCACAAATTTTATATTAATAATGGATCAAATGCGAAGGATTGTTTAGGTAAAAAATAGGGTTTAATTTCATCTATTGATCTAGTCCAAATCAAGGGTCCAGGATGAATACAATTAAAAAAAAAAAAAACACGGTGGCATTATGGTAATTTTTTGCAAGTTCATATTCTTTTGGGGGTGCATTTTTTTTTCCTTCTTCCAAGTTCCAATGCACATTTTTCCTTCTTCGAGTGCATATTTTTGTCTCTTCTAGAGCACAGTTTCTCCATTCGAGTGCACATTGTTGTGCTTTAATTTGTAGTGCACAATTTTGGGTTAGACCACATAATAGCATGTTTAGTTGCAGGGAATTAGAATTTCACTCCAACATAATTCTGAATTGAAAGCAAACAAATTTCTTCGTTTAGTTGTAGAGAATTGCAATTTTCTCATTTTCTCGGAATTAATTAGAATCTCATATTCCCCCCCCCCCCCCCCCCCCCCCCCCCTAGTATTTTCAATTCCGAGCTTTTTGGGAATAAAAAAATATAGTTTTGAGACAAAATTATCCTTCTCTTTTCTAACCTAAAATTGATGTGTTTTGTTTGCTTGCTATATTAAGTATAAACATTTTATTCTTTATATTACTTATATTCATCCCTTTCAAGTATCATTGATACCAAACACTAGAATTGAAATTCCTAATAATTCTATTATATTTCTGCAAACAAAAGAATTTAAATTTCTAAGTTATTATTCCACACTATCCCTCTCATCAAATTGAAATTACTTTCCCCTTAATTCTTTCTTCGAGTTTGAGTGATTCACATAATTAACGAACCGAGTAAAGTTCAAATATTTTAATACTTAATAGATACATCATTCCAAAAAGCTGAACACCAACCCTAAAGGCACCCCACACCCCAACCTGACAGAGCATTTGGGAGGATGTAAATCATGGTAACTCAACTGAACATGAACCACAGAGGTTAGACCGGTGCTTACTGCGCACAAGGAACCCCTCACTTTGATAGATACATCGATCATGAGAGACATGGGTGATGGGCGTTTGTTTTCTTCATTTCTATATATATAGTAATTTTTATTTTTATTTTTATCGCCGTCATTACAGTATCAATTAACTCTAATTTCAACGGATAGAGAGAGAGAAAAAAAATGTTGGGTCTTGGATAGACTAGACAATAGGTTCGGTTTTTCAACTATATACCAAGTGGGAATCCATGCAATTTAATTCAAAAGTTATTAGCAAAGTGAACCCCACGCCTAGTTTAATCACGCCATTTATCCCGGCCTCACTCACTTTATAACCCCCCTACATTCTGCTCTTAATTACCTACGCTACAAGCTGATAAGTTCGGTGCCGCCACAAAATTAAAAATGGCAAATCTTCACTTAGCTCTTCTTATTCTTCTACTCCCATTATTATTCCTCATCGTTTCTTCCACGCCGGATCATCATCAAGACCCTGATGTTATCGTACAAGACGTAAACCGGAGAATCAATAATGCGTCTTTGGCTAGGAGGGGTTTGGGTTACTTGTCTTGCGCAACCGGAAACCCCATCGACGATTGCTGGCGGTGCGATGCCAACTGGGAGAAAAACCGCCAGCGCCTCGCCGACTGCGCTATCGGGTTCGGCAAGGACGCTCTGGGCGGCAAGAATGGCCGGATTTACGTGGTCACGGACTCCGGCGACGATGACCCCGTGAACCCAAAGCCCGGGACGCTAAGACACGCGGTGATCCAAGACGAGCCGTTGTGGATAACGTTCCAGCGCGATATGGTTATCCAGCTGAAGCAAGAGCTGGTGATGAACTCGTACAAGACAATTGATGGGCGGGGCGCCAGTGTCCACATCGCCGGCGGGCCGTGTATTACGATTCATTACGCTAGTAATATTATTATTCATGGGGTTCATATCCATGATTGTAAGCCGGGGGGGAATGGGGACATTAGGGACTCGCCGGAGCATTCTGGGTGGTGGGATGGGTCCGACGGCGATGGGATTTCTATCTTCCAAGGGAAGCATATTTGGGTGGACCATTGCTCGCTCTCGAATTGCCATGATGGGCTTGTGGATGCCATTCATGGATCCACCGCCATTACCATTTCCAATAACTACTTCACTCATCATGACAAAGTTATGCTCTTGGGTCATAGTGATGCCTTTACTATGGACAAGAACATGCAGGTCACCGTTGCCTTTAATCATTTTGGCGAGGGGCTGGTCCAAAGAATGCCTAGGTAAGTAAACGTAACTAAATTATTGTCGAAAGTAGGCACATTGCTTATTCGTGTCCACATTTGGCCCTATAGTCTGCTGCGCCGGCCACTAAGTTATCAGGTTCAGTCCACATTTGGCCTTATAGTCTGTTGAGCCGATCACTAAGTTATCAGGTTCAGTCCACATTTGGCCCTATAGTCTGTTGAGCCGACCACTAAGTTATCAGGTTCAGTTCGCATTTAGCCCTATAGTCTGCTAAGCCGGCCACTAAGTTATCGTTCAGGTGTGAGAACCTTTTGAGGTTAGGATTCAGCCTTTAATTGGACAGATCCCTTATTTGCATCCACATTTAGTCCTGCAGTTTGGTGAGCCGGCCACTAAGTTATCAGGCCGTGGTGTGGAGATTCTTGATGTTGAGGATTCAACTTTTAATTTTGGAGAGTGAACTAAATTGCATGCCTTCTATTCTACTCCACATTACCCTAATTAATTCCGTACATTAATTTTGGTAAAGAGTTCTATAAAGTCAAATAACATATTTATTGGTTTGACAAAAAATAACTTACTTTTAAGTGAAAGGTCACATCAAAAGTAAACAATTTATTTAATTTTGGAGGCTGTATTATTATAACTTAATTTATTTTTAGAAAACTCAATCATTCTGAGTGACTAGAAAAATCCGTAACTATTACTAAAAAATATACATTAAAAATGTCTATCTGCATTATTGTGATTTTACTGTGAATCTCATTATAACTATACTACTGAATGCAGGTGCCGGCATGGGTATTTCCACGTTGTGAACAACGACTATACTCACTGGGAATTGTATGCCATTGGCGGCAGTGCATCCCCTACCATAAATAGCCAAGGCAACAGGTTTCTTGCATCAAATGATAGATTTCGAAAAGAGGTATGTACCGAATCCTAATCATTTGGTGTTAAACTTAACCCTTCATTGATTCTTGCACAACAATTCACTACCTTAAGATTAAAAGTTTATTGTCACTAGATTAGAAGCTATAGTTAGTAGTGGAGGCGGACACAACCCAACTTTATTTCTTTATAGTGTCACATTTTTAAAAGATCACATTTTTCAGAAATAGGGTGTTAAACTTGACCTGAATATGGTTACAAATTAAACCCAGTGGAAGTTAGAACCGGACAAATGTGAAAAGATCAGATAGAATAGAAAGAAGTCATGAAAGAGAGATAAGATTTAGAAAGCCATATATGACGCGGAGTGATTGAAGGAAGGAATGATAATGACTGCTGTAAACAGTGACCAGATGGAAGTTTCGTCTAATAATGTTTAGCAAAGGCTAAGTCTATCATTCTTTCTGAACTTCACCCTTGTGACCAGTTGAGTTGCCTATGCAGGCAAGACCAAATCTATCATTGGATATATGACTAGAAAATTGTTAGGCGAAACTGGTAAAAGACTTAAAAGGTCTAGTTCAGAACAACATTCAGCATCTCGAAAATGTGTTGCTGGAAAAAAAGTTACATATTCGCTACTGGCTATATATAAGGGCTTATAAATCCTATTAATAATATGCAGGTGACAAAGCACGAGGATGCAGCAGAAAGCGAATGGAAAAGGTGGAACTGGCGATCAGAAGGGGACTTGATGTTAAACGGTGCGTATTTCCGGCAGTCGGGTGCAGGGGCTTCCGCCTCAACCTACGCCAAGGCTTCCAGCTTAAGCGCCAGGCCATCGTCTCTCGTGGCTTCTCTCACCACTGCCGCTGGTGCACTTAGCTGCAAGAAAGGATCCCACTGCTAATATAAATATATCTATGCATTATCACATGTAGTCTTTCCAAGCAGGGATATGATCTATCGGAGTTTATTTACACTTTTACCAACTTCAATTTGCCACTATGTATTTTGCTGTTTTCTCACCTGATCGATGATTAATTTTGTTTGTCGATCAAGTATCGGAAACGTGACATTAATGCATGGACCGGGACAAACTTTTGGCAATTCAAGGACAAAATATTAATACTAAATTACACTCAATTTCTATTTCTACTTCTTTGTTTCTTCAAATTTTGCATATAATCAACTACCAGCTAATAATTTGATTATAATTATCAATTTAATGGTAAAGGCATTTAGAGTAGCTTGGTGGCAGAGAATTGCCTGTATATTATCCAAGAGATTAAGGGATTGAACCCTAACTTCTAATTTTTACCATTAAATAATAATAATAATCAAATTATTATATGCCACCTCACAAAATCTTACATATTAATGTCATTGCCATGTGGATAGACTTAACTGGGAAAATAAATGGTGTTAAGTATGGTCCTCAATTGTTCTGTTAAGTACATGGATTAAATTGAACAAATTTTAAGTATATGGACTAAATTGAATAAAACACTATAGTACAAGGATCTAGCATATACTTTGACCGTTTATCACCCGTGTGTAGGTGTTATATGATGATGGTGCATCATATGTTTTCTCATATTAAGTTATGAACATGTCATAAAAAACACCTCCACTCAAGTTCAAGTAGCTCCTTTAATCCTTTTATTGAAGGTAGCTCCTTTAATCCTTTATTACAAGTAACAAATGAGTTTTAATTTACTCCGTATCAAATTAGCGCGCTCACAACTATTGTGGACCTGAAGAAAGTTTACTCTCTCCTCTGCACTTCAATGTACCACTACATGCATGCTTTTTCCACCTTAAGATACACTTTCGGTGCAGGCTTAAAAAAGTTTCACAATGGTGTTTATTCTCCATTCCCATACAAGTTTTGAATAAAATTTTTGGGCAGGTAATTCAACTTTTAATCACTCGATTATAGTAATATTTTAAAGAAAAATATGAATCCATTGAGTTCACAATTTTACAAAAATAACAAAATTTAGCCTCCACATGCATTATAATCTTTGTCAAATTTAGGGTCATTTGGAAAGCAGTAAAATAACTTTTGGGAAATGTTTTATGAAAAATGAGTCATTTTTCAGAAAATATTTTTCTTTTCAGTGTTTGGATGCACAGTAAAAAACTATCTTTATGTGTTTGGTTCATTGTTTGAAAAATGAGTATAATTGTTTTATTTATAATATAAAAATATTTATAATAATATTAAAAATAATATTATTTATTAAAAATTAGAAAAAAACAAAACAAAACAAAAAGGAAACTTCATTAGTTTCCGGCGAAAACCACATATCTCTGGTATGGCTTGTTTTTAGTGGCCGGAAATTTGGCACGACCGAAAGTTTGGCATTATGGTTTCCGTCTGACCAGAGTGCCAAAAGTTCATGCCGAAGATGAAGAAGGCTGTGTTGAGGACTAAGCTGAAGGTCGTGTACTCGAAAAATGACTTCCCCCAAAAAATGGTGAAGTTGTTATGTATTCGTGGTGTGTGTGTCAGACGTGTAAAGTTGGCCTTCCGTGCAAGATGTCTTCTCCGAAACATTACTTAGTAGGTTTGATTTTTTGCCCACCGTGGGGCTCGAACCCACGACCACAAGGTTAAAAGCCTTGCGCTCTACCAACTGAGCTAGACGAGCTTATACATAATTTTTGTACGACTACACATGGCATGGTTGGTTAGTTCATAGATAACTAAAACATATAAAAATATTTTTCATATTATTCTAGATTTAGTGGGAGTAGAGAATATTGCTTTTAAGGAATGAAAATCTAAAATAACATATTTTCTAAAAAGAAAAAAATTGTGGTTGTTGGGCATATATATATATCATGTGTGTGTCAGACGTGTAAAGTTGACCTTCCGTGCAAGATGTCTTCTCCGAAACATTACTTAGTAGGCTTGATTTTTTGCCCACTGTGGGGCTCAAACCCACGACCACAAGGTTAAGAGCCTTGCGCTCTACCAACTGAGCTAGACGGGCTTATACATAATTTTTGTACGACTACACATGGCATGGTTGGTTAGTTCATAGATAACTAAAACATATAAAAATATTTTTCATATTATTCTAGATTTAGTGGGAGTAGAGAATATTGCTTTTAAGGAATGAAAATCTAAAATAACATATTTTCTAAAAAGATAAAATTGTGGTTGTTGGGCATATATATATATATATATATATATATATATATATATATATATATATATATATATATATATATAATAAATTAAACATAAATGTGTAGTCCAACTATCAGTTTATACTTTTAATTAGTTGAGATTGAGCACATATTTCAATTTGTATCAGAATCAGCTCAACCTTGCAAAAATAATCGGTTCGCACATGTGAAGGAGCGTGATGGAGTGCATGTTGCATTGTGAAGGTAAAAGAGTAATGATACATTAGTACATTCTTTTAAACACATAAATCCCGGCTAATTAACCTTGCAAAAATAATCAGTTCGCACATATGAAGGAGCGTGATGGAGTGCATGTTGCATTATGGCTAAAGTAAAAGAGTAATGCTACATTAGTACATTCTTTTAAAGACATAAATCCCGGCCGTAATATTCACTCGTTCATTTTGAATCCCCAACCTCAAATTATGGAAGTCAGCTGAACCACAGACTAGACCTTTGCTAACCGCGCACACAGAGCCCTTTTCACTTTGAGAGGTTGCCCCTATACTGCCGCTAGTGAGATTCAATCTCTGGTTATTCTTCTCAAATTTCACCCCTATGACCAACTAAGTTGTCCATGCAGGTTTTTTTTTTCTTTTATTGATTATATTGTTAGGTAACTTTTTTTAATAACTCATGATTGAGTTGACCAATTCAGATATAGAAAAAAAAATTTAAAACTTGATAATGTCATATTAATGAGTGATTATTAGGTAGTGAATTTAATATGGAATAATATAGCATGTTTTAGAGATAAATTTTGGATTAATCGTTAATTAACAATTAAACAAAAGAGTTACGCAAAAAGGTAAATCCTATTGGAAATATAGAATCACGCTAAAAACTTGTGCGAGACCAAGATCCGAGAGACGGGTTGGGTCAAAATGGAATATATAATACTAATACTTGTAAATGTAATACTAAATCAAGAATAAAATGGTTATTACTTATATGAAAAATTTTAATATTTTTGAAAAAAAATATAATACTTTCATTTTTTTTATTAAAATATTATATTTTCCTTTACAAGTGCAACATTACATATAAAGGAAAATTTAATACTTTTAAATGAAAAAAAATACTTTTATATCAAATTATAAAAGTATAATATTTGTGCTCAAACGTATGATGTTTTACCTTATAAATAAAAAATATTTTATTTATGATTTAATATTATATTTACTAGTATACGTATTATATTTGCCTATTGACTCAACCAGTCTCACGAATCATAGCAAGTGTGACCCTGAAATCAGATATGTAAATTAGTATCGCATGTTATAGATTTCCGTCAATCATGGAATTTATTAGCAAAGGTAATTTGAAGAGGGTAACCAAAACAATTTAACGCGCAAATGGTGCCGTCAATTCCACTATGAAAGTACGAATTTTAAGCACCTTAGAAAGTCGTTAATTATCGAGAAATTATAATTGTTTGAAATTATATTCTCCATGTGTGACATGCAATCATCGTTTCTACAAAAAAAAAAAAAAAAAAAAAAAAAAAAAAAAAAAAAAACACGACCAGAGACCACTCTCATTTAATATGACATTGAAATATTCGGAAGAAGAAAATCAATTACCATTTTCATGTCTATACTTTTTTTTTCTTCGTGAATAGATAATGTCTGAAGGTTGAATCCCCAACCCGACAGAGTATTTGAAAGTGTGTAAATTACGGTGATTCAATGGCTCAGCAGACAGGATCAGTGCGCACAAGAAATCTACTCACTTTGAACATAATCACCACACTGCCGTTGCTGAGGTTCGAACCTTGGTCTCTTGTCCAAAATACTGTCTACTGAACCAATGAACTAAACCCGTGCGGACATAATAGGCGAATTCTCTTATGAAAGATCGGTGAGACGGTTAGATTTTGTATAAGTATTATATTTTTCCCTCATATATAAGTACTAGCATTTTGTACGCGCGATGCGCGTAAATTCATTCTCAATATTAAAATATTAATAAATACAAATAATTAAAAAATTATAATTTGAATTATATATACACAAATAATATATGTATTTTGTACACACACATATATATAACTTATTATTAATAGAAATTTAATTAAAATATAATTAAGTATTAAATTAATTATATAATAATTTTAATAAAATGATAATTAAAAATATGAAAAAGATATGATAAATATAGGTCTATGGTAATAATAATGTGTTATCAATTTTAGAATTAAAAACTAACGGTGTTATAACGGTGTAAGAGTAGTTTTGTCTAATAACATTAAAATGTACAACATTTAAAGTAAAATGTACACATTTATTTGCATACAAAAAGAACGACATAAATTAAGGATATAACATTGATTGAGACTTATTATGTTTTTAGATTACAATTTTTTCATAATTATATTTTGATTTAAAAGTATTACATTTTTCATAAAAATTATCACATTTTTTTTCATAAATATTACACTTTATCTCATAAATAACAACCAGTCAATTTATCCCTGATTAGTATTACACTTTTTAGAGTAATTGTTTAACCCGACCCCTAAAATTACATTCTGATTTAAAAGTATTATATTTTTCCTCAAAAATATTATACTTTCTCATATAAGTAACAAACAATTTATTCATGATTAGTATTACATTTTCTAACATAAGTATTACATTTTCCTTGACCTAACTCATCTCACGCATAAGGATCCGTGAAACGGGCTCACATTAGACTTATTTTTTTTTAATATTTCTTTTTTTTTTTTGTTGTAAAAAGATTCCACTGTCAGTCATAGTGACTAATCCCTCGCTGAATTTTATGCACTAAGGGTGGACACAGTGACTATTATTTTTATTAAAACTTA